TTCTGCAACCTCCTGAGCTCTGTTTTTCTTGCAGAGGCACCGCGGGCCAGTCCTTTGCTGTTTCCAGAGCAGCCCGGAGGGCCAGATCAAAACACCCCATGGGTCGGATCTGAGTTTGACACCCCTGAGGTATAGGCCTGTGATGGTGAACCTATGGCACACATGCTGGAAGTGGCATGCAGACCCATCTCTCCAGGCACGCAAGCCATCGCCCGTTGCTCTTCCGGGTTCCAGCATGCCGGCCAGCTGGTCTTCACACGCATGGGAATGCCGGAAACCAGAAAAGCAGCCGCCCAGCGTGCATACTCACACCCTGGAAACCAGAACATCATCTTCCCGGCCACACATGTGCACCGGCCAGCTGTTCTTCCGGTTTCCAGCATGCGCACATGCGCGCGCTCCCAATTCAGCACTTAGTGCCAAAAAGGTTTGCCAATACTGCTGTAGGCTATTTCAGAGTTGCACACAAGAGAGATACAATATGTTGTTGCTGGATTATCTATTCATCTGCCAGCAAAACCAAAATGCCAAATTCAGTTTTGGTGGTGGGAGAATTCAATGTCCTGGAGATTTGTTAGAAATATACCTAGGCAAGACCTTTTATGCCCCCTGGGCCACATCTGGCTCTTTGGCTGTCCCTCCTTGGCCCACGTAGGTCAATCAGAAATTAGAAATGAAATGCACGCAATACAACTGCATTGCTTTTATTTTGAAGCCAACTGTTATTATTTTTTTCCCCAATTTGCATATGTGCATGCGTGCATACCTCTGCAGTTTCACAGCCCTATTGGTTCAGCCCTGGATAACAGTTCCAGTTTGTTATGTGGGAAAAATTGGGGAAATTAATTGCCCTGCCCTGTCTTAGAAAGAAAAACATCCTAGTCTCCAAACAGTTTCTCTCTCCTCACATCAGATCTAGAATCGATGAGGATTCATTTCATCCTGCTGAAACAAACAGAACTGATTTTTTTTTTTAAAAATGGTCTAAAAGACATCAGAATTACTTTGTTTACGGGTCAACACCAGGAGAGAGATAGTTAACATAGAGCAGCAGAGTAAAACTTCAGTGTAAGTTGGAAATCCAATAAGATATCAATTAACTTCGGTATTCCATGTCAGTTCATGCCTAGATCCTTTTGCTAAGAAATAACTTCTATCTCTATAAGAATGTCTTGGTCCCAAAATATATTGTGCAAAAAAAGTTAATATTTTCAGCAGTTTATCTAGGGGATAGCTTAATCCCCTGTGAAGCTTGCAGCAGAATTTTTTCCAGACCACATCAAACTTACAATTATTCCAAACAGAGCTATATGTTTTTAGAGGCATGCTGAAAATAACTTATGGTTAACTGCATATTCAGTAGCCTACTGCATTTATTTCTTTACGTAAGCAACAGATGCACGCAAAACTGATTTGTAGGCCCAGTAAATATGCTAATATAAGAGTATGAAATATTACTGGGTCTCATCGCAATTTTGTAATTAGATTTCAGACTGCAGAAAAAACTTAAGAGAATATTCATCAGAGATAGAATAACTAATGACACTGATTTTCACATGTAAGATTTTGAGTTCCTCAGATGTCTAGGATAAAAAAGGCTCGGTTTTTTTAAAAAAGATATTTATTCTGCCTTTATTGTGTTTTATAAACAAGTCAAGGTGATGGATATACCGGTAGGTCAGTATATATATGTGTGATATATCTATTTATTAATATTATATATATTATATATAACATTCATTCTTCCTCGTTTTCCCCAAAGTCACCCAATTGGCTTTCATGCCTAAGGCAGGACTAGAACTCACAGTCTCCTACCAATTGGCCCAAAGTCACCCAGCTTGCTTTCATGCCTAAAGTGGGACTAGAACTCACAGTCTTCAGGTTTCCAGGCCAGCATCATAACCACTACACTAAATTTGGTTTGTGGAATTGATCTGAAATTCTCAGAATTCTATAAAATTCTGAGCTGCATAGAATTTATGCATACAGAGTATAAAGAGGAACACATTACTTTTAACCTCTGCGTAAATGGGTTGTTTAATGATACGGACAAAGAATGGTTCAGAAGGAACATAAATTATTAGACTGATTATCCTGCTCAGAAGCAATATAATTTCTTGCTTCACATGAAGCAAAACCGCTGGTGATAGCTATCTCTGTTTTATGTTGTGTTATTGTGTGCTTAATCATATTAATAAGCCAACTGATTACTCCTAACTAAAATGCTGAGCTAGGCATATTTTATTTCCAAGTAAGCATATATATACAGGATTGGGTTACAAAGCTGAACCCTTACATCAAAAAAGGCTTAATAGGTGCAAAGTGGAACTATTATTGATTTTTTCCCCCTTCTTATTTATACTTACTGGTTGTGGGATTAGTGTTTTCAACCCCTGCTTTATATTTTTATACTATTCCAACAGCTTCTAATTATAAGGCACCTAATACTTTATAAGAATATATAATAAATCAGTTAAAAGATTAAGTAAGGCTCTTAAGAGATGATTTTAGAGAAGAATTAACTAAGAATTGAGAGAAGAAATAAGGAAAAGAGAAAAATTAACCAGTGGAACAACTTGCTACCAGAAGTTGTGGGAGCTTCATCACAGGAGGTTTTTAAGAAGAAACTGGACAGCCACTTGTCTGAAATGGTAGGGGGTCTTCAGCTTGAGCAGGGGGTTGGACTGGACTATTTTAATTGATTGAGATTTGTCTAGTAACTTGTAGATTTCGAATACACGTTGAAGAATAGCTTTCTCATTGAACAGGTAGGAATTGTTTGGGTGGGGGGAAGGTATCTTAAGGGAAATCTCTGAATAGAGATTTTGAGACAAGCGCAGACTCTGGACTTGCTCCAGCTGCCAAATCATTCACCAAATCCCTCTAGAGTTCACTGGAGCAAGAAGCAAAAGAGATCCGCAGATCCTGATGTCTGAATGAACTTTCATTCACTGCCTGTTAAGTGTCTTCAGCAGGGCAACTGTATTAGCAGCCGCAAATTTTCTACTGCATGTAATAATTTCTCAGGATCTAATTTATACCTGAGAAAAAAATAGATCAAAAATTTTAAAAAATAAATGTAAACCCATGGCTACACTTTGCTTTTAATTTAAAAAAAAAAAAAGATTTACTCAGTTGGACATGAGCTGTTTTTCCTACCTCCACTTGTTATTTTTAATCACTTATAGCAGGTCTTCTGTAGGTTCTAAGATTGACAGTTCTGAGAAGTCGTTTTTGAAAGATATGGAAACTCCGAGTATTTCTGCAAACAAACCCTATTTACACAAGAAACTCCTCTATCATTTGCTCCCGGTCACCTTTATTTATTTATTTATTTGTTTGTTTGTTTGTTTGTTTATTTGTTTGTTTGTCAAGCATATATAAGGTAACAGGTAAAAGTATAAACATAATTTGAATACATGAAAAGAGTAAGAGTAAAAAGGAATATTAGGACAGGGACGGTAGGCACGCTGGTGCACTTATGCACGTCCCTTACAGACCTCTTAGGAATGGGGTGAGGTCAACAGTAGACAGTCTAAGGTTAAAGGTTTTGGGGATTCAGGGAAGAAACCACAGAGTCAGGTAGTGCATTCCAGGCATTGACCACTCTGTTGCTGAAGTGGTATTTTCTGCAATCGAGTTTGGAGTGGTTTACCTTGAGTTTGTATCTATTGTTTGCTCGTGTATTGTTGTGGTTGAAGCTGAAGTAGTCGTTGACAGGTAGGACATTGTGGCAGATAATTTTATGTACTATGCTTAGGTCAGACTGAAGTCGGCATAATTCCTTCCCTGTCAGAACAGAGTTTTAATCCCTAAAGCTGATCCAGGACATTTGCTTCAACTTCTATTTTAACATGGACTATAGCCAGTGTCCCTGGAAGATTCCCGCAGGAGAAAAAGCCCCAGAGTTTCCTTCTTTGACTTAAAAATGTGCCCACAGTTCACCCCAGAGATGCCTCACTCTTTACTTATACAGGTGGTCCTCGATTTATGACCACAACCGAGCCCAACATTTCTGTTGTTAACCGAGACATTTGATCAGTTTTGCCCCCATTTTACGATCTTTCTCGTTACCGTTGTTAAGTGCATCACTGCAGTTGATAAAAAATTAGTAACCCAGTGAATCTGGCTTCCCAACTGTCTTTGCTTGTGAGAAGATTCGACAAAAGGGGATCCCATGACCTCCGGGCCACCGCAACCGTCATAAATACGAATCAGTTGTCAAAGCATCTGAAGGTTGACTATACCCGAGAAGGCTGCGAAGGTCATAAACTGTGAAAAACAGGTCCTGCCTAAGTCACATTTTTTTTTTCAGTGCCCTTGTAACTTTGAAGGAACGAACTGTGGCAAATTCTGGTGTAACTTTTTAACCAGTGGCTACGCACAGATTTGGTTTAGCAGGCAAGAGCTATGGGCAGTGGTGGGATTCAGCCAGTTCGCACCTTTCGGGAGAACCGGTTGTTAACTTTCTGAGCAGTTTGGTGAATTGGTTGTTGGAAGAAATCATTAGGGCAGAGAACCGGTCGTTAAATTACTTGAATCCCATCGCTGGCTATGGAGTATTGGATCAAGGCGGTTCAGCGACCCACAGATCCAGGGCGGGATGCTTCGCCCTCAGGCGCAGGCAACGACGACTTTTCCCTCCCAGCCACGCGACTCTGCGCGTGCAACCGGCGCGAGCGAGATCATCCCCCCCCTCTATTTTAATTACCACACCTGCGAATCCCCCTCCACCATCAGCCGCGCGGACAGCCGCGTCCCCCTCCCACCCCAAATGTCCCATCTGGGCGCGCCCACCTCGCCGGGGGGGGAGGGGCGGGGGGGGGGCGAAGCCCCGCGAGAGCCGCACCTGTCACTAAGGGGCGGCTGTCCGCCCCCCCACCCGCCCGCCCACACCCCCCCCCCCCCCCCCCGGTGCCGCAGCCGGTCCCCCCCCTCGGGGGCAGCGCCCCCCCCCCCCCCACCTCCGACCCGCTTTCCGCGCTCTCCTTCGGACTCACCTGCCGGCAGCGCTCGGAAGCTTCGCACCGTGTTGCCTTCTCGGAGGTGAAACAGCCGGGACGTTCCGGCCGCTTCCGAATCCCGACTCCGGCCGCTGTAGCGGACGTAAAGGCGCAGCATGTGTTCCGACACTTTGTCTCCGGAGGCGGAGGAGGAGACCACCGTCGGGGAAAGCTCCTCCGCCGCCTCAGTTTCGGACGTCCGGCTCCTGTGCCCTCCTCTTACGCTCCCTTTGGCGAACCCGCCCGGGCGCTCGCCGGACCCTTCGGCCACCAGGCTGCAGCAGCTCAACCAGAGGCAAAACCACCACCGGAGCAGCGCGCGCGGAGAACCCGCCATGCCTCCCCCCCGCTTGCCTTGAAGGGGAGGTGATGGTGCCGGAGGAGAACTGGCTCGCTCCTCAAGCCGCCCGTCCGAATCCGAAGCGAGCGCAGCCCAGCCTCGTCGCTGCCACGGCCGCGGGTGGGGCGGGGTTGGGTGGGTTTTGAGGGAAAACCAGTGAGGGAGGGAGGGAGGTCGTCCGGCGCGGTGAGGGGGTGGCGGTGGCGGTGAGAGGGGGGGGCTGGAAGAGCGTCTTTCAACCTGCCCGCGGTGTTTGCCGGCGGGACGAGGGGAAAGAGAAGCCGGCGTGTACGCGCGCGCGCGCAAAAGCAACAGCTCCGGCAGGTTCCTTCGCCCCTGCCTCGAGTGGGGCAAGGCGCAGCCCTGGGCTGAGTTTTGTACGGCGTGTGCGTGTGTGGCGGGACTCGCAAGCGCCGGCGAAACGGGCAGCCAATCGCCTCCTCCTCCTTCCTCCTTCCTCCTCCTCCTCTCGGAGCCGAGGGAAAGTCTCTCGCAGCGAAAGTGAGGGGAGAGGGGGGGTTGCGCGCGCCACCCGCCAAGCCCGCCCGCGATGCCAAGGCGATCCGGTGTCCCCCTGTGGATTGCTGCTGGATCGGTCGCGGCGGGCCGGAGAGGTTGAGAGAAGAAGAAGAAGAAGGAGAAGGAGAAGGAGAAGGAGAAGGAGAAGGAGAAGGAGAAGGAGAAGGAGAAGAAGAAGAAGAAGAAGAAGAAGAAGAAGAAGAAGAAGAAGAAGAAGAGCCGGGCGGGCTTTGGTTTTTTCGACCCAGCCGGGGGTCAAGGTCCTGCTTTAAAAACGGGAGGGGCTGCTGCGGGCGACCCGCTGCTGGATGCAATCGCGCTGAGGGGGGGGGAAAGACATCTGGGGGGCGGGAAAAACATCTGTCCGTCCGGATTTTTTAGTAAAGCGAGGAGTTTGGGAGTGGGACCCTCGAGTGAGCTGCTCTTTTGGCGCAGCGAGGGAACGGAAGGCGGCGCTGCTTGCTAGGAACCCAAAGCTGTTTCCCCCCCCCCTGGTTTTCCATGCCCTCGATTCAAATGATGGTGCCGTTTGACACGACAGCCCTGTAAGGTAGGGCGGTATCTTCAGACAAGCCCAGCGTGGCTGAGATCATATAGAAAGATCCAGAGAGGCCACACCTAAAGAGTACTGCATCCAGTTTTGGTCACCACACTATAAGAAAAAGATGTTTATTTATTTATTTGTTGAATTTCTATACTGCCCTTCTCCCGAAGGACTCAGGGCGGTGAACAGATTAAAGATTTCATATACATATAATAATTTTTATTTTTATTTTTTTATAAACAGTAAATAATAAATTGAGTCAACTTGGTTCATCTGCTAAGACCTTGGCATAGAATTTAGATGTTTATGCTAGCCCTGCTTGTTGAAACAGAAAGGTCTTCAGGGCACGTCGGAAAGTGTGAAGATCTGGGATTATTCATATGTTGAGACTAGAGGTGGGTTTCCAGCAGGTTCTGACCGGTTCTGGAGAACCGGTAGCGGAAATTTTGAGTAGTTCGGAGAACCGGTAAATACCACCTCTGACTGACCCCGCCCCCATCTATTATCTGCCTCCTAAATCCCAGCTGATCTGGAAATGGGGATTTTGCAGTAACCTTTCCCTGGATTGGGGAGAGAATGGAGATTTTACAGTATCCTTTCCCTGCCACGCCCACCAAGCCACCCCCACAGAACCGGTAGTAAAAAAAATTGAAACCCACGACTGGTTCAGACTCTAGAAAGAGTGCAGAGCAACAAAGATGATTAGGGGACTGGAGGCTAAAACACACACGATGAACGGTTGCAGGAACTGGGCATGGCTAGTCTAGTGAAGAGAAGGACCAGGGGAGAGATGATAGCTGTCTTCCAATATTTGAGGGGCTGCCACAGAGAGGAGGAGGTCAAGCTATTTGCCAAAGCACCCGAAGGCCAGACGAGGAATAGTGGATGGAAACTGACCAAGGAGAGATATAAGGAGAAATTTTCTGACATTGAGAGCAATCAACCCATGGAACAGAAGTTGCCTTCGGAAGTTGTGGGAGCTTCATCACTGGAAGCTTTCAAGAAGAGACTGGACGGCCATCTGTTAGAAATGGTGTAGGTAGGGTCTGCTTGGGCGGGGGGGGGCGGAGTGGGGGGTTGGACTAGATGACCTACAAGGTCCCTTCCAACTCTGTTAATCTAATCTGTAGGACGTTGCCTGGATTGCGGCTTCACATTCGACCTCAAATTTTGGTTGAGGCTGGTTATTCAGAAAATTGTAATCCCAAAACATCTAGATTCTAGAATGTGGCTATTAAAGCTCAGGCAGGTGATTTTAAGTTGTCCCACTCGCCTTCATTTTCCTCTCAGCTGCCAACAGTCAAAATTGGGGAAAATACAGCCAGTCCTCCACTTACAACAGTTCACTTAGTGACCGTTCAAAATTATGACGTCACTGCAGAAAGTGACCTATGACCTTTTTTCACACTTATAACCATTGAAGCATCCCCATGGCCACATGCTCAAAACTCAAATACTTGGCAACTGATTCATATTTGCTGTGTCCCAGAGTCACATGATCCCCTTTTGCGTCCTTCCGACAAGCAAAGTCAACCGGGGGGGGGGGGAGGATGGCAGATTCACTTAACAACAGTGGCAAGAAAAATTGTAAAATGGGGCAAAACTCATTTAACAAATGCTTCACTTAGCAGCAGGAATGTTGACCTCAATTATGGTCCTAAATCAAGGACTACCTGTAGTTCAAATTTACTTAAACGGCAGCCATTAGGCCAAGGCGTGAAATTGGAATGTTATGGCCTCTTGGGTTTGCAAAGATGCTCAAGTGATCACGGATTTCAATTCCTTTAGGTGGACTTTAAGTTTAACAACTTTTCCTACACTTGGGAAGCAGATGCAATGCAGATTACTAAAACTGGCATTTTTTTAACCAATGGACAAATCGCAAGTCGGGTTTTCTTTAGGCCCAAGAAAGAACAAGGTGTTTTAAAGAAGATATGACCTATTCTAGGTAAAGGTTCCCCTCCCACATATGTGCTAGTCATTCCCGACTCTAGGGGGTGGTGCTCTTTTCCGTTTCTAAGCCGAAGAGCCAGCGCTGTCTGATGACAATTCCGTGGTCATGTGGCCGGCATGACTAAATGCCAGAACCGCTGACTTCAAAACAAAAAGTAGTAAATCAAAACTGCTAAATGTTTTTAAACTAAAATTGGGTTTTGCAGTCACACCACTAACAATGATCAAATACGACTTCATTTTCATACTTCTTTTCTACTTTGGCCTGCTAACGAGCTGTTAGCTGAATTACTAATTACTATTGGAAATGGGTATCAAACCAGACACATCACCGGAAGTTAAAATCATAAGACTACTACTGATTTACTTTGGCCATGTTTTGTGCGTGAATTTGTTGGAGAAGCAATGACGCTTTTGTTTCCCTTGCAAGAAATATTATTCCTCCCTAAGTGGAAATGAAATCCATATATGTCCTTGTCTAGTCACTTCAAACAAGCACCAATTTTGGAGTCGTAGACCTTCAAGAGATGGTTGCTTTGGAGCAATGAACCTACCGGTTCATTTTCTCCAGATGGGTTTGATACACGGTGGGCAAACAGTAATTCCTTGCATTTGTATCCTGTTCTTCAGCTAACGTTACAAGCTCAAATAGAACACAAGGCAGAAAATGGCTTCAATGTGCAACCTCCAGATGTGACGTTTTGTGGGTTTCGCTAGCATTCTGGTCCTGCCTCGGCTGTGGTTTGGGAATGAAGATCGGATGACGATCGCGAGCAATGCTGGGCAAAGTATTTGAAAGGGATGCTTTACACAAAAAGCCTTGAGTGGAGTAAAATGCTTCTTGAAGCAGGAAAGTAGATGTGTCGTTTGGAAGTCTTGGCCCAACTGCTTCCAAGCCATGTCTTGCTTGTTGTTGTGTGAGTGTGCACACACAGAGACAATTCACATGCTAGGACTGCCAGCAAAGCAAAGCAGCTATGTGTGCACACAAATATAAGGATGATTAAGAACAGAATAAGGGATGTGATGGCTCAGTGGATAAGATGCTGAGCTTGTCGATCGAAAGGTTGGCAGTTCAGCGGTTTGAATCCCTAGTGCTGCATAGCGGGGTGAGCTCCCGTGACTTGTCCCAGCTTCTGCCAACCTAGCAGTTCGAAAGCACATAAAAAATGCAATTAGAAAAACAGGGACCATCTTTGGTGGGAAGGCAACAGCGTTCTGTGTGCCTTTGGCATTTAGTCATGCCAGTCACATGACCACGGAGACATCTTTGGACAGTGCTGGCTCTTCAGCTTTCAAACGGAGATGAGCACTGCCCCCTAGAGTCAGGAACAACTAGCACATATGTGCAAGGGGAACTTTTACCTTTACCTTTAAGAACGGAATGGGATAACTCACCACAGGCTACTCACCGTAGCCAAATAGCCACGGCCAGTTCACTACAGGACAACTTGCCGCAGCCAACATGCCACGGAACAATTCAACAATTCTATTTACGTATTTAAAATAATCTTAAAAACTAATTTTAAATTTTCATTCACATTTCATTTTGTCCTTCTTTAGACACCTTTATTAAATGATTCTATGCCACCATTTCTTGATATTAGTGGAACTCTTGTCCCATGGCGAGTTGGCCATGGCAAGTTTCCCGTGGCAAGTTGGCTGCGGTGAGTTGCCTTAGACCCAATTAAGAACGCTTTCAAAGCAGCCAAGAATTTCGCAGTCAAAATTTCAGGAACTGATTGCACCCAGTTTTGTTTTGTTTTTAAGGGAAATGAACCGAAGCTATGATACAAATACCTCTGTTTGTCATTGAAGTTCTACCCTGATTTACTTGTCTCTGTCCCTTGATTCAGGAATGAAATGTACAACCTTCAAATCCAATGACACCAGAAATGTCGAAGAAGAAGGAAGAACTGTTAATCTGCATTCCTCATCGAATTTATTGCAGTTAATCTGATTTGGTATCTAGAGCAGGTGCTTTTATCAGCGTCAGAGAAATGCCAAGGCCATCTGAAGGGTGTTGTTATATGATAAACATGTCTTAAAAATATTTGTTAAAGGGAAATTCTAAAAAAGTAGCCGTGTTAACAACTTGTGCTTCTAGGGCCAAAGCACCCTAAGGGGTTAACTGATGTTCTGTTATCCTAGATAGGAAAGTTACTTAGCTGAGATGGGCGATGTACAAAATTTAGTAAATAAATAATACATTTCAAAAAGTCAGGTTTGATGAACATGGTTACTAAAAATAAGAAATGTGCACAAGCCATTTAGGTATAGTACAATCCATATTTACTCATAATTGTCTATTGTGCCCAGAGAACAACAGGAGCCTTGGTAGTACAGGGGTTT